CCTTCTGCCATCACTCTTTGTATAATTGATTATCATGTTTTATCTGGCCTTCATTGAAAGCTTCTTCATTGTGTTTTCTTTGTCTAGTGTACTCAGTGCCAATATTCCAGTTTTCTTCTATATCCGTTCTATGTTGCTCGCCTCACTGTAGTGTCTGAGCACCTTTCATAGTACATAAAGTGATGTGACTAACAGCTGTTGCATGGGGTTTGTTCACTCATCCTCTCCACAATGTGCAGGGATGTGTTTTTTGTTTTTTCTTAATAAGCAGACAACTGTGCAGAGTGGATTCATTAGTCCTGCAGCTGCAAAAAAATTCAGTGAGGAAAGAAATATTATTTGCAGTTTTATTGGGTAATGGAGCGTTTCTGAGCAATCTCTGGGGAACCACCTCATAATGCACCTTTTGCTGTACTGGCCCATTTTAATTTTAAAACACCATCAAATTGGGGCTCAGTGGTTTGAAGGCCTAGTGGACTAGCTTCGTCTTATCTTGACACTTCTTCCTCCACAATATGTCTAACAGATTTAGATTTATTGGAGCATAAGCATTCATGGGCAAAGACCCACTCCATCAGAAGCCCATGAAAGCTTATGCTCCAATAAATCTGTTAAGTCTATAAGGTGCCACAGGATTTCTCATTGTTTATGCAGATTCAGACTAACACGGCTACCCCTCTGATACTTGTCACAATATGTCTAAAATCCATCCTTTTTTTTTTTCTTTCTTTTTTTTCTGTCCAAACACTCAACCCTTTCATCCAGCATTGCAACTCCAGTCATGGCTACTGTCTATCTTGTCTGTTGTGGTGATCACAGCTTTCCGAGACACACATCAGAACCCCGCCTCCTGCTTTCTGTTGCACTGCATCAAGTTCAAGCTTCTTGTCTTCACCTTCCAGGCCCTTAACAATTCAGTTCCACTTTTCTCGTATTCCATCATCCCTGCTTCCTCTTCTTCAATCAGTCTTAGTACTAAAGACCATGTTGTGGTCTCACCCCCAGAGCACACTGCACAGTCTGCCATGGCTAGCATGTCCTTCAGGCTTCAGAGCCAATACAGCGTGATTTAAATGAGTCATGCCCAAGCATGGCTGAAGTTAGACCAGCTGTGGCTGGGCAGAATCTCTTTCTAAAGATCTTGGCCTCTCTTTCCTTTGCTTTCTTGTTTGAGTTCTCTACAGATGGATCGGCCATCTCTTTTTTTTTTGTTTGTTTTGTTTTTTCCAGTTTGAATTACTAATTTTAAGTTTGAAGGAGAACAACTAAACAAGAAAGAACAAAAGTAAAATCTCAAAATGGCAGCTGTGCCTGCCCACAGGCAGGCCCCTGAGAGATTTCGAAAGTGCAGGCAAGAGAACACAAAGCCATGACCACATGCACCATATGAGTTAAGCTGAAACTAATGTATGTCCAGCCCTCCTAAGTGGCATATCTATGACTGGCTCATTCCTACCATGAAACTTATTCAACTGCAGCTCCTGGAGTAAAAGGTTCCAGACGAGCCATGGAGTAAGGCGCAAGTCTAGAGAGGGGCTCTAAATCCTACAGGGAAATCTCAGAAGTCTACTCCAGCACCTTTGTGTTGCCTGCCCCTCCCCTATCCCCACCCCCATCCAGCAGTTGGTGCTGCTGGGTCACCCCTCCTCCCCCTTAACATAGGTCACAGACCTAGGCCAGGAGCAGAATCAAAGCTCCCGGGGGGTGGACAGGTGTGGACAGGGTTAAGTGGGTGAAGACTGGGACAAAGCTGCAGGCAGTGGCCAAGGCTGAGCGTGGGGTGAAGGTCAGTTGGAGGTTCAGGCTGGGGGCAGGACCAAAGCATAGCAGGGAGCAGAGCAGGACTGGGTGGTGCTCCCTCCCCAACCCTGATGAGGGCTGGCCTGGGTCCTGCCAGGCCCCTTTGAAACTCCTCTGCATCCCTTACAGGGGAGCATGCCCCACAGTGTGGGGACCTCTGGAGTAGATGATGAGGCTATGGCATGCAATCCTTACTTTTTAGGTGCAGGCACTCTGCCCTGACCAGTGTGGCTCCTTCCCCTTGGTGTGTGTCTGTAGAAAAGGTGAGGTCTGTGTGGCCTGACTTAGCAAGTACAGCGAGCATGAAGTCAGAAGTGCAGAAACACCATTCCCACCCACTACTCAGATACACTATTTATAGAGAGAGCTTTCTTTGTTTTCACTTTAAACCGATAAAATGCAACTAACTGAAGGAAAGCTCTGAGACCCAGAGCTTAATACTAAATACAAAGAGATAGACATTCTCAATATTTGCAGTTGTGCTTTCATTATTGTGTTTTTTCAGTTGGTATTGACAAGCAAATAAAAACAGAAAGCAGAGAAGATTTCTTTTTATTAGAGCAATGTGGAGGCAAGAGGCCCTTCGTGATTAGTTTCAGATCCTACTGCTGCTGTTTTCAATTTATGGTTACAGTTTTTCCACTAGTGAGGAAACTGGATTCTGATTCATTTCAGAAAAGAAAGTGTTATATATGGCAATCAGAGCAGCTTCCTGCTTTAAAAAAAGAAAGGTATAATTTCTGTGAAGAGCCCTGAAAACCAGAAACCCTTGTTGCATTGACACAAACCTGTGGCCGCCTATGGCTACATAATTATGATGATTCTAAACATCATGACCATCCAGAATGTCAGTTATTTCAGGGTTAAAGAACTCCAAAAACACTGGATCCCACTTCTTAAGGTGAAGGAGAATCTCTCTTCTTTGTTCAGAATGAACAAATTGTTCAGAATCGGCCTATTGTTAACTACTCTTTCTTTTATCCAGTACAGGCAATGATACGCAAATACTCTATCTGTCCATTACAATGTATAATATTTTAGGTTCTCCCTAAATATCTCCCCATGAAGGTTTGGGGTGGGCTCTTTTTTTTCTTTTTCTTTTCTTTTCTTCCAGGAGAGGTGGCTTTTTTATTATTATTCCACACTTCTTACAGTTGTGGTGACGAGCTGTATTTATTTCAGCAATATGTGCTCTAACATTACTCAGCTATAGTATAGGTTTCTTAGCCATGTCAGATGGGATGTTGTGACTCATTGTGGCAGAAGAGAGGAAACAATGACCATTGCATTCCCCCCCCCCCCCTTCCAAAAGCAGTCACCATGGTAGCACAACACTGGAGCATACACAGCACAGTATCTCTTATCTGTTTTTAGACACAAATGTCTCCTCCCTAGAAAAATTGTTTTGAGAAATATAACAAATATGGGATGGGTCGAAGTCAGAAAATTAAATATGTTTTCGTACAATGGGCTTAATGTGTTCTGAGTAAATCATTCATTCCCTTTGCTGATTCAGATAAATAAAAATCTGGAAACTAATATTTTACATATAAAAATATGGCAATGCCTTATCAAAAAAACCAGTTACTGTACTTCACATAATGACCATGTCTGCTAGATGCTTCTGAATGAAAGCCTCTTGGAGGGACAGCCTTTGGAGTAAGTTAGAGCAGCCCCAGTGGCTGCTCTAATTTACTTCAGCCCTGCCCAATGATCAGTGGGTTGCTCCACAGCTCAGAATAATTAGAGAACAAAAGTCCTCTGGCCACTTCCCTTCCTGTGCTCCTGGTCCACCCCATTGCCTGCTTCTAGGTCAGGACTGCAAAGGAGGTGAGCTAGTAGTGTGCATGCCGTCCCTACACCGGTCCAGTGCTGGGGAGTCGTCTTAGAGGGACCATTAAGATCTCTTCATAACACAAAAGTGACATAAAAGAGCTACAGCAGGGGCCAGAATTTGGCTCTTATCTTCATTTGTTTCTGTAAGGCACATAATAACATTTTGGGTGCTTAGCATTAGTACCTTTACTATGCTAATATTTGTGGGGGTTTGAGTACCCAGGACTGGAAGTCATCTTGTGACCTCCTGCCTGCAATGAGAGGGAGTCTTGCTGGTGGTAGCTGGATATCATCTCCCCCCACTTCCAGCCTTTCAGGCTTTCTTCTTTGTAACATGCCAGCCCTCTCTATGCCTTACAGCCTAACAATAGGTGCCCTCTGGTCACTGAGTCCCCTTGAAGCATTCCCCTGTGAAGTCTAGCTCTGCATATTAGTATCCACAGAAATTCCAGTTCCTCTTCCCTAAAGGAGCAGATGCCCCAGTTTGCCAGTTTTATCTTAAACCTCTGCCCCCATAAGGTGTACAGCAGTAAATCAAGAGGTTTATTTAAGTGCAAGAAAGAATAGAGATTCAAATAAAAATAGAGATAAATGATTACACTACAAAACAGAAATCGGAACGTGATTACACTACAAAACAGAAATCGGAACGTGAACAAGGTTCTACGCTTATTAATAATTACCTTTCTTCTCTAATAACATAGACTGAATTTTGCAGAGGAAACCTATTGCAGTGGCTTCGCAGAACCAGCATCCAAACTTCCACAAAACCCATACCCACTCCATGCCTTGTTTCCTCAGTGAATGGATACAGTGCACCTCTCCCTGACTCCAGTTGTCCTAAAATAGTCTTATTCATAGACAGAGAATCACTCTTTCATTGTAATGTTTCTTTTTTGCCTCCAAGTGGTTTCTCATGGTTGAATTGTCTTTCATGGTTTTCCATTGATAGTGTTGGGTTACAGCAATGCTAGACGATTGAGCCTTGCATTACATCACTGGCTAACCAGGGATGGGTGGCAACTCCCTCCTGCTTGAATCCTATGGTGTCACTTTTACGGGACCGTAAAGCATACTTTCAGTATAGTTAAATTATTGCTTAAATATTATCCATACATACATCTCTCTACGTTGTAAGGTTTTTTGTAGGTATTTTACATGTTACCCCCAATGGATAATTCTCCTACAAGACATGTATTTGGTGTGGTAAGTTTGTCAGACCTTAGGTGAGAATTGTTTGCAAAGTAAAAGGGATTCTG